TTCCAGGATAATAATCGCGGCGACTTCTCTATCTACCATACAGACACATTGATTATTTATACATATATTTAGCTATGGGCTATTTGCTATTTTTTCCTTCTATTCTGTCGTTATTATAGATAATCAAATCGAAAAAAATTTTTCATCATATAAATCAGCTATACACGAGTGATAATGCTTCTTTCACTCTTACTCATAACTATGCATTACATCTCTTTATTTCTTGAATTTGTTTAAACATGATTCTACGTACTATTTTATGAGAAATTGTCTCAGACTTCTAGATTTTACTTAGCAGGAGCCATTTTTTTCTCGTTAAAAATGTTTTTCTGACCCTTCCATGCGAATCAACATAAAAAGTTGGTTATAGAACTATATTTTGGATTGTTCGTAGCTTGCTGTGGGTGAAGTATTTGATATTCACTATTTACCTGTGCATATACTGAGAAAACGAACTAGAACTCCAGAATTCTAATAAGGAGGGTTACTTTTTTTGTTTTGATCAATAATGCTTTTTAGAGTGGATCAGCCGTTTAATCAAAAGAGAAAAATCGGAAAAAAATCTTTCTCAAAAAATGATTGGATCTCTATGGATTCACCCATTGGTATAGAAATATATGTTGTTAAATCATCGATATTATCATAACCAAGAATAATGATCTTGTCCAACATTAATAATAATATAATTGGAATAATTAAATCGAATATGTTGTTGTTCTAACCATTCTATAGTAATTGCTGGAGAATTTCTTTGTTGAATATGTATATGTAGACTATTCAATTGAAGCATCTTGCGTAAAATATAATCGATAGCATTACTTCGTGAATGAATACCTAATGATAAATGTTGACATTTTGAAGAAAAAATCGGGTGTGAGTTGGATTTTTACATCCACATTTACACACCAACATTCACGCCCACATACCTACACCTACACCCACACTCCACACCCATACCCTATATTGTATCGAAAGTGTTGAACTTAAGACTATGATGAAGACTTTTATTTCTGAAATCTTTTTCGAACATAGCAATAACCTTCACGAGCGAAAATTTTAAGCATTTGACCGTAAGATCTTTTAATTATTGGCACATTATCTAACCATATAGTATAGCGATCTTTAGAATGGTCACTTTGTTCGATATTTGTAATTCGAAACATTGTATTGGGTAATACTAAAACTTCTTTTTCATCTTCTATTTCTGACACACATGAAAGCTGAAATTCAGGAACAGCATAGAGTTGAATGGCTGTCTCAGATGGGTGAGAAAAATTGAAAATCATCAGCATACTAATTCGACCATCGTTTAGCTGATTATCACAATAGAATTCAGGAACCTCGCGATTGGTGCTTGTGGACATGAAACCATGAGTAACTGTGAGACAGTTGGAGTGCTCAAACGCCCATTTATAAGCGAGCAGAAGATTTTTATCCATAACCATTCCGCGGTAGGTAGTTCCATGAAAATAACGATTCTGAAGTTTTTCTAAGTGACACAAGATGGTGCTGTTGAACGAGGGCGAGTTTTCGTGCAAGTTCGAGTAAAACGGCGTCGGTAAAGTATACAAACGGAGTAAGTGTTCAATGTTGTTGTCTCGGAGGTATTCGTCTACCAAATAACACGCTTTTTGATATTGAGAATGTTGAGGTGACACAAAACGATCGATCACAAGCTGGAATTCTTTGCATAGAGAAAAGGTGTTTTCATGTGGCGATGGTGGCGGTGGCTCACGTTTGAGCCATGTTACTATTCTAGCGGTAGTGAAAGCTAAAGTTCGAAGTCGAGATGGGCGAGAGAGGGTTTTAGATATCGAGACAGCCTGCTGGCACATAGCGATTGCGGTTGGTGACGAGTAATTGCTTATGTATCGATTTCTGATATTGTCCTTGACATCGTTGGATTGGTTCTCAGATTGTTCTTCATTCATGTTACCGTATTGATCATCAGTTTGATCACCGATATCTGTTTGATTTTCATCCTCCGAGCCAATTAGGTTCAACTGAAGATCACCTTGTTCTGGCACGCTTTGTACGTAACGCAAGAGCCTGTCTTCCGATGGTCGATAAAACAATTGTCGTACGCTTTCATTCTTGGCAAGTTGATAAGCTGTTAAGCCGTCACCATTTGGTCGGTGACGAATAACTCCAAAATCATCTAGAAGCATTCGTATGATACCTTCATGTCCGAGTTCCACTGCTACATGAAGGGCAGTACTGCCATTTGGCTCAATATCATTGAGCAACGCAAATGGTACGTTAGAGTCCCTCAAAATACTCTTCACCCATTCAGAATCGTTTGCTTCACATGCCAAATATAGATCGCTAAATTTACCGTCTGCCCGTGGAGTTTCGCTTTCTAGTTTTTGCATGTCTCTTCAATGAAAGAAGTGTATATTGACAACAGAATGCCTTTTTCTGCTGCGTGATATCGTGTAAAGAGCAGCAAATGCAGAACACGAGAAATGAAGCAACCAACCAAAGTGACTGAAAAAATACTCGGTAAAAGGATGACTAAAACGAAGAATAAAGGTGGAATTAAGTTTGACGTAAATATTTTTAACGTAACAGTTTTATTGCCTTCATAAGAGCTACCGATCATCAAGTACAACAATAAAAGAAAATGAATAACGTGCACATAGAAAGAATTTTTACAGTTCGTATTCATATAGTAAATTATACCTCCTACGACGTATTGGCACAGTGAAGAAAAAGAAAAGCATCGATTACACAAGACGATAGGAGACAGAAAGCAAGAAAAGGAAAGACTTTTCAAGGGTGTGGGTGTAGGTATGAGATGTGCGTGTGCGTGTGATCTTCTCTTTTTCCACACTCGCTTTCACACCCACACACCCAAATCCCGATCTTTATTGCCATAGATACGCAGACGCAATAGCCAGTTCAGATAGGTGAGTCATCATAAGATGTCTAGACATGAAAATTATCTAAGGAAGTCATTTTTCCTAAAACTCGATTTCTGTTTTAGACACTTTGATAAAAATGAATCTATCCTAAATCATTCTTACTTTTTAAGCACACATAACATTCGGATCTAAATTCGATGTTTCCACACTTATTAAAAAGATAAAAAAAGGAAAAAACTGGAAGAGAAAATACTTATTCGAACTCACATTCTTTCCTAACACTCACAGGAAAAGAGGCTTCCTTCTTGGCTCGCGACAGCTCTATTGAAAAAAGATCCTTTTTAAGTTGGAAGTTATAAAAAAAATGGATTTTCTGTCAAATTTTTCCGTTGTCGCTACTCCCAGAAACAATAGACAATCCTAGGTTTTCGCTTTTATTAAATATTTTATTGTGTTTTAATAACCAATAATCTATTTAAAAGCAATTCATATTAAACTCTCTTATAATTATATAGAATAGAATAAGCAACCATGACCGGTTTCGACCTTGCTTAAGGGTCTCATTAGATGCCGTAATTTTAATACTGTATCTTCTCTATTTTATAGAGGTTGATTACAGCGTCATCGTCATTTTATGATGATGAATTTGAATAAAGTCATCTGATGAGATCCTTAAGCAAGATCGAAATCGGTCATGGCTGCTTATTCTAATTTTATTTTACCATCTTCAAGGTGGGTCTGTGAACGTGTGAATGTCCGCGTACAACTTCTTTGACTCTTCACCCACACTAGACTGCCACTCTCACTCACACTCACACCCACACTCACACCCACTCTCGAGACTGTTCTGCTATGGCATACGCTGCTTTTGGATGACGGCAAAAATTAACCGACGACACGTGTTCTGCGACATCTACCTGTTTCTTTTTAATTTGTTCTTTATTCATGAAGAAATAAAAAGACTTGGAAAAAAATCAAAGTGGTATTTATTTGTTTCGTCTCATACAAATCTTATAGGATGGAACAACATTGTAAGTTGATAATGTCTGAGCTTAATCAATTTTTCCGTTATAAAATAAGCGTCTATTTCTTATTCACTTTTCGTATCATTCGTCCACAGTGATCAGAAATTACATCAAACTACCGATTTCGCTTATAAGACAGGAAACAGAATTGTTTTGGATGAAGATAAATAGAAAACACTTCCCTGTTATTTGTTAAAAACGACTAATTACGTGACGAGTTCGATAAAAGAGATTAACTCCATAAAAAGTCTTCCTATAAAATAGGTTTCGTGAATTATAGGACCCTCCTGATATATCATTTTTTTTAGTTAAAATCGTTTAAGAGCGAATCGATGTGGATGAGGATGTAAGCGTAGGTAAGCACACATTATCTATATAAAAGCTTTACCTACATTCACGCTTACAATCTTACTATCGTTTACATCCACCTTCGTCCGCACCCTTATGAGGCTGTAATTCAAAGGAAATTTTAACGTATCTTACAAACTCCATGCAGTTGATTCTTCGTCAATATTACACAAGAAAGTATTATTTACTTCCTTTTTTCGTTACAAACATCATACATTTTTTGATTGTGAAATCACATGTTTTGACCGAAAGTAACAGAATTGTTTGGTGTCAGTTAAGTTATGAATAATTCAGAAAGAGAAAAAATTAAAGAAAGAAAAGTATAGTAAATGGGCTCCACTGCATTTCAAACATTTGACATCGATACGCTGTATAGAAAAAGTTAAACAACAAATGAGGAAGAGGTACCATCCTTGTATAACAGCAAGATCTTGCGCTTGAAAGACGAATCTGCTATTGTTATTGATATGGAACAACAAGGTTTGCAACTGAAAATGAATGAATAGCGACGACAACTGTTGATAGACGTAAAACGTTTATTAGTTCAGGAAAATCAAATTAAGCTATTAACATAGCTAAACCTACTTTGTCGGATCAGATATATGTAAATTACCGAAAGGTTGCTTAGTAACCTATTAGAACATTTTATAAGACTTTAAAAATATAAAGATATTCAAAATTTACTCATACTACTTGGCACACAGACATTAACAATAAACCGAGTATTTTTGTTTTTACAGCACTGTTTAAGCAAAGAATTTTCATGAAAACATTCCATTATCCATTCTCGATTTTACGACTCGAGCCGCAACGAAAGTTAATTTCTGATCAGACTCACAGTTAATCTAGTTCCTTCCCCCTTTCGCCTTGCCATAATTCCATGATCCTGTTCCTGTTTTCGATACTTCTTTTTATAATACGAAGAAATCTTCGTTTGTAGAAAAAATGGATTACTTTCATTTTCATATTAGTTTCTTCTGCCTGTGTTAAGAAAATCAGATATAAACCCAACAATGCATAAATTGGTGAGGAAAATGATCAAAATATTTTAAAGTTCTTTCTCTCTTCTTCTCGTTACTAACTTCGAACATCAACGGTATTTTCAAAACGAAAAGATTCAAACTTTATTCTTCACATTTAAGATTATTTTTGAAAGTTTTTACCATTTCAGTTATTTTTTTCTTTTTTCAGTAAACGAATCAATGCCGTTTACAATGAGGCAGGATGTCAGTCTTTTTGTATATAAAATAATATACTAGAAACTTGTTTGTTTCAATTTTTTTCGCCATGAAGAATGGCGGTATTTCTCATGAAGTGAGAGTCAACTCTGACCTTATATCACAAATATGGTTGGTGGAAGTTGCTGTGATAGCAGCCATTATGATTACTGTGGTTATCACGATCCTTTTTGTATTCAAATTCGATTCGAGTCGTGTAGAGAGCTTGCTAGTGAGAGTAAGTGTCGTTTTCTTTTTAGATCTGAAGTGTGTTTGCTGAGGGAACTATCCAACTATCCGATTGTTGTTTTAATCAAACTCAACGAATCATAGGCGATCAGGTATCGTGAGTATGAATATCATAATGACACTAGCAGTCAGAATATGAATGCAATTTTCTGATAACTAGGTCTTGAAGCTCAGGCAACTACCGATGAGAAAATTTTTCTGACAGGCACACATAAACGAAGAGCATATTGCAAGTAGGCCTAGGACAGTTCAAATTAGTTCTGATCTTAGGAACTGTTGATATGGTTCTTTTGAAAGAAATTGGTTTCTGGAAACAGTTCCTATGAAGAGACCTATTCCTAGAAACCAGTTCCTTTCAAAAGAACCGTATCAACAGTTCCTAAGATCGGAACTAATCTGAACTGTCCTGTGCCTAATTGCAAGACCTATAACAAAGCAGTTTTATAACTTTCAAAGGACCTTTCTAAGGCAAAAGCTCATATGTAGACAGTTTCTCCTCGATCTTCCAAGTTCTGACTTAGATAAACATCTTGAAAAATATTTCAAACAAAATGAAAAATATCGTTTTTTAAAGGTTCATTGTATACTATTTGATTTGAATAGACAAAAAAGATTTTGTCATATCGACAGCTCTGTAAGATATAGTAGTCTGTTTTCTAAAAATCAGTCTCTGCAAGTCTCGTTGACCCGTCCCAGTTTGATATTCATTGCATCCCATTTACTTATGTATTTTATCGCGTCAGATAAATAGGCGCATTATCAACTCTGTGAGATTTGCTTAGTGAATGCATGACGAAAGTCAACTTGACAGGATATAGACCCACAATATCATTTAAATGGAATTTTCCTTGCTCTTACATGCGAAATATGAATTCGAGATAAAAGTTCAATTTGCTGTCTTTTCATTCGATAAGCATGACACAAACACTGTCAATTTACTTTTCGACTTCTCTTCCATTGCAAAGTTATCATTCTTATAATTTCTATTTTAAGACATATTCACCAACTACAACGCAAATATGATTATACTGCGAACGACGAACTTCAAACAAAGTCTACTAAAATCAAAACAACATTTGTTTTATGCGCTCTTTGTGATATTGGTTTCGAGCTGGTTAAGTTGTAGCTGGAAAGCAAAAACCGGTTAGTATAACATTATACAATAAAAGAATATGTCTTAGCTTGCCTGCATCATATCCGATATGACTTTGGCTACCGTCGCACATATTGAAAATAAAATTTTAACTGTCACGGGTGATAAGTAGTTAAACCAAAAATGCCTTTGGATTTTTCCGAAAAGATGGATTTCTTGTATTAGCATTGAAAAAAATAGAGAAAATACATTTGCAATTTACGTAAATTAGTTTGTTTATCTCATTAGAGAGTTAGCTAAAGTCCAGATGTGACCAGTTATCCATTTTTGCAAAATAACTCTCTATTTGAAAAGAAACGCAGGTACAGTCAT